GACCCTTTGGAATATCAATACTGCCTGGGTACGTGGTGTTAAGAGGTAGAGATTTGGGGATGTAGAGTTCTAGAGTCCTTCCTAGGGACTTTAGCGTATGGCTTAGGAAGGTCTAGAGCCATATGGCTCCCCTACCCTACAGCTCATACCGCTACTGTGAACCGCTACCGCTCCATGTGACTCCGGCCTAAAAGCATTCTCTCGCTGCTTTGCTGCTTGCCTGCTTACAAACTCGATAACAGATTGCGCGACTGCTAGGTTGCTGATCCCAATTTCCAATCAGTTATACCAACGAATATAGACGCTTATATAGAAGCGTCTATATTCGTTGGTTATACATACTGTCCTTTTTTCAGTGACTTGAGTTTCAATAAATATGTGTGATCATATCAAATCACATATCATACGAATACTCGTATTTGTTCAAAACTCAATGTAAAAAAAAATAATACAACCAAAAAAAAAGGTCAGCGTGCCTCAGATTCCATACTTATATCTATACTTATATGAAGTAACAACTATATTCGATTTTTTTTGTACTCGTTGTTGAACTCTGTTGTTGATAAGTATAAAATCGATCTATTTACCTTCTGAGCGGTGTCGAAAAAATAGATAATTATATATAGCTAACAGATCGTTTACCGTGAGTTGTGTAGGAGATGCCGATTGAGATTGCTGGCTACAGCTAGTTTTAGCTTATGTACAGTTTGTGTTTACAATATACTACCGATGTACTATAGACTGAGCTGCCACAAATCTGTATTATCCCTCATATTGCTATAGGGGTGCTAGATCGGTAACACATAGTGGGGGGCCATGGCAGCGGAGTTGAGACGGGGAGCGTGAGGAGGCTTGCAAAAAGTAAGGGAGATTTTTAATGGGTCAAAATAACTGTGAAATTAAGGGAGTTTTTCCTTATTTTGTGGTGGAGCTGCGTGGGGCGGGGCTTCGAAAATTGTGCGGGGGTCAGAGGGGGTGCTCAGTGGGTCATAGGCTATCATTTTGATGGGTTAAAATATCATTGACAGTAATCGGATTTTCCCTTATGTTGTGGTGGGGGTTGTTAGGATTGATGGCGGGAGCCATGTGTGTGGGGGGGGGGGTAGTATAGAAAGCCCCGCGCTTACAACTGTATAATATAGGAAAATATGTATACATCTGTATGTATATATATAATCTCTCTCTATTTGTGTGTGTGTGTGTGTGTGTGTTGTACATATAGAGTACTTCTTCGTGGTTGATCGGTCGGTCGGTCGGTTCAATTATTCAAGAAAGTATATCTATATTCACTACCTACATACATACACATGCTTGAAAAATCAGAACGACCGCCCGACCGTCCGATTACAAAGAAAAATGTACCCATGTATACTCTGAATATATTTTTGCAATGAACTTTTCTAACGTTCCGAATAAAAAATTGCTTGCGTACCCGGGAACCTGGGTACGCTTGTCGGACTGCAGTGCCCTTAGCAACGTAACCTGCTTGCCTGCTTCATTATGTTTTGGCTGTGCCTTTAGAATTTCCTTACCTTTCACCTCCACGCTTGAGCTGCTTGCTAAGTTATTCTCGCTTGTACTGTTTTGAAGCATTTAAAATAAATCCACGCTTTTACACATGTGTTCCTCTTGCCATCTATGTTGCCAGCGTTCTCAGGTAATTTCCTGGGCGTTTTTCTTGGCCTCCATTCTCCCTAGGTCCTGTCCCGTAAGGTGCTTTAATCGTCTTTCCCTCGCAAGGAGGTCGATGAGGATTACGCCCGCTATCACCATTATCGCAGACTCTGAGACTGTGCGATAGGCGCAGGCTATCCTCAAGGCTCCTATTCTTTGGACTTGGCCAATTTTTACTCTCTTCTTTTCGACGTTCATCTCATCTCTCCATATCTCAGCCCCGTACAAAATAATAGACTGTGCCGTAGACATGAGGAGCCTGCGTTTTGCAGGCTTTGGATTTTCAACGTTCGGCATGATTCGGCTTAATGCCACCACTCTTGCCACCACCTTGTCTGCTGCTTGCCTAAGGAGGCTCCAAAACGTGAGCTTTCTATCCAGCGTCACCCTTAGGTATTGGACGGCATCCTTTGTCATTACTTCTTCTTCTTGTACCTTGAGGCGGATGATGGTATCTATCTCTTTCCTCGTCAATGGTAGTCATCCATGGAGCCACTCTCCACATAACCTGGTTAAGTCGTATCTAGACAAGTTTCATTTCGCGTTCGACGATCACTACAGCAGCATCGTCTGCGTATCCTACCGAAAACGTGCCATCTGGCATTTCCTGGCGGAATAGTCCGTCGTATGACACGTTCCAGAGATAGGATTTAAGTATGGATCCCTGGAATGCCCCTGCAGTTGTTTTCTTTTTCATTTCACCTTCTGTTATCATAAAGGTCAAGAAGCAGTCCTTGAGATAATCTCTTAATACTCTCAAGATATAGACTGGCATTTCGAATGTGTATTTCAAAGCGTGAAGCATGTCCTTCCATCTTGCTCAGTTTAAAGCGTTTTTTACGTCCTAGGTCACCAGAAGAACAAAGGGTCTCGCTCCATGGCATATGTCTCGAGTGCTTTAAACTGCTTTAACTACTTCTTCTACTGCTCCTATGGTATACCTTCCTTTCCTGAATCCGTACTGCCTGTCGGATATGTCTCCCGCGTTTTGTATGGCCTGTAGAAGACGAGCCTTAAGCAGCTTTTCGTATAACTTTCCAGGCGTGTTCATCATGCACAGTGGCCTGAAAGATAACGGGTAGTTAGGCTCCCCCTTGCCTTCATCGATCTGTACCAGCCGTGCGTTTTTCCAGGAGGTTGGGAACAACCCCTTCCGCAAACATGCATTTTAAAGGTTTAAGAGCAGCTGTGGGTGTTTTGCCACCACTGGCTTAATGACTTCTGCCAGTATAACATCTAATCCAGGAGCTTTTCTGTTTTTAAGTGATGCAGCTGCTAGCTGCAGTTTCTTCTGGGTAAATAAAGGTACATACATCTTCTATAAGCTCCAAGTCTGCTTGACCCTCAAGTTCTGGATGCGTCAGGAATAGCGTATCCACGATATGCCTCATGGAATCCGCGTCTTTGTTTGCAGTTGGTGTCAGTCTTCCCCCAGTTTCTCCATCACTATATGGTATGCTCTGCCTCAGGGGTCTTTATTTCCTTTTCAGCACAGAGTCTGCCAGCACTCCTTGTTGCTGCTCTTAATAGCAGCCAATGATGGGATATCGTCCCGGCCAGACTTCGGAATTCTGTAGGACCCAACCTCCCTGACGTAGGAAATCACAAGATCAAAAAAAAATAGTACCGTACGTGAGGCGCAAAATTCAAATGAGGTCGAATAACACAAGCACCTATCACCTGATGACCCGGGGTGCTTGCTATCCACTTTATTAAATAAATAATTATTAATAAATGACACAAGCGCTTATCACACTATGACCCGGGGCGCTTACTGGCACACTGTTATTTATTACTGTTACAGAGGTGCCAGTAAGCGCCCCGAGTCGTTGGGTGATAAGCGCTTGTGTTATTAATAATTATTTATTTAACAGAGGGGCAAGTAAGCACCCCGAGTCATAGGTTGATAGGCTCTTGTGTCATTTATTAATAATTATTTATTCAACAAAATGGCCAGCAAGCGCCACGGGACATTGGGTGATAGGCGCTTGTGTTATTAACAATTAATTATTTAAGAGAGTGGCCAGTAAGCTCCCCGGGTCATAGGGTGATAGGAGCTTGTGTCATTTATTATTAATTATTTATTTATCAGAGTGGATAGCAAGCACCCTGGGTCATCAGGTGATACGTGCTTGTGTTATTCGACCTCATTTGAATTTCGCGCCTCACGTTCTGTACTATTTTTTTTTGATCTAGTGATTTCCCACGTCAGAGAGGTTGGGTCCTAGAGAATTCCCAAGTCTGGCCGGAACTGTATCCTATATCATTGATAGCAGCTCGCATCGTCTTTCTTGTAAGCTGAAATCTTTTTCTACACTCCTGCTGTAGCTTTGCTCTCAGATTGGCTTCAGAACTTCTCCAACAGAAAGTTTTGATAGCGGTGGGGGTATTCAATGATCCGGCCTCTTTGCCAAAACTGCACACTTCGTAGCATGGCAGTCAGCAATCTCCCTACTGATCTCTGATTTGGTGCAGTCAGTTTTGATGGGTAACCGCTTAAGTCCTGCCGTTTCACTACTGCTAGAGGTCTGATCGGGGCATTCGATATTTCGCTTCAGTAAGCAGTTTTTTCAATAATCCCTATAAAATAACCCAAAATAACGACAATGCGCATGCGTAGTTTAGAGATTATCGAGAAAACTGCTTACTTAAGCGCAGCAATAGGATATAGTTCCGGCCAGATTTGGGAATTCTGTATGACCCAGCCTCTCTGACGTGGGAAATCACTAGATAAAAAAAAAATAGTACCGAAGATGAGGCGCAAGAATCAAAGAAGGTCCAATAACACAAGCATCTATCACCCAATGAGCCGGGGCACTTACTGGCCACTCTGTTAAATAAATAATTATTAAAATAACACAAGCGCCTATCACTCAGTGACTTGGGGCGCTTACTGGACACTCTGTTAAATAAATAANTTTATAAAAATATTAGAAATATAGAATATATAAAAATATTAGAAATATTTTCATCACACCATAGTTCTATAGTTCGTTTTCATCACTATTGCTACTCACTGGCTATAAATGCATATATGCAGCAATGAACACGACCAATTAGTTGTTTTGAATGTATTTAAAAACTTTCAGCAACAAGTTTGTCAAAATTACATAATTAAGTAAATAAGTATAAATTTTGTTCACATGATTTCTACAAGGATAGCAGTATTAACATTCATGTATATCAGCATTTCATTGTTTTTGTAAGCAGCTGACACATTTTATTATTGTTTAAGCATATCAATTGGAGAATTTTTAACTGCTGGCTGTCAAACAGATATATGTGTGTGTGGTGAATTAAATTGGAGGCACTGGATGGAAGGGACTAATTTTCAGCCCTAATTCATCCATTAACACATCAGCCAACAGCTGAATTCTTTGACATCTCCCAGTATACGTAAGTAATCTTCAGTTGTTACATAACAAAAATCATCAGATTTTACCCAGCATTGTCATACTGGTTCATTCCAGACACTCATTGTTTCTCCAGATATCTGCACACATTTCAGAGTTTTTTCATAGATTTTGAATCACTTCAGGTATGTTTACTCTTGTTCGAAGAAATGGCAAATTTTTTTCTGAAATTTATTTCATCATAGGATCAAAATGTTGGAAAGCAGAGGCCCATTCGTAGAACTTCTTAATGTCAACACTGGTGAAATCGAAGCCCTGATGTGCAGTCTATGTAAGGACATTTAAAAAAATGATGATTTGAGGATATTGGAATATCACAGGTATATTTAATATTTTTAATGAAAAACATGTATACACTGAAGCGCGCATTAAATTAAAATTTGTCTACATGTTTCATTGAATTGCACATTGTTGAAGCTTTTAATATTTCATACATGTACCACTTAATTTAAGTTGAGAGAATATTGCATGGCAGTAAACATGGCGTTATTTAATTTTATAAATTGTATTTTCTTAAAAATTTGATAATCTGATTGTCTCAAATATTTCTAACCAGTAGTAAAATTTATCAGTGATACTACTTACATCATGGTATTTAGGGCACATGATTTGATTCTTAATATTTCATACACCATTATTTTATTATCATACCGATGTCTTTAAGGATCATGCAGTTGCTAGGAGAAAATATTTTGGTGACGCAAGGCGTCATTTACTACAAAACACAATTATGTATACGTATGGTTATGTTTCATTAATAGAATACTTATAAAAAGTAACATTGTAACATTGCAGAAAATTATATAGGGTATTGTGTACACTTCCCACTAAGACAGCAAAGAAGTACCATAAGGACTGTTTATAAATGAGATTGATAATTTTTTATCAAATAATTTTTCATTGCTATTCCAAGTTAAACACGAGTTTATTGATAAAACGCTCAGTTAACTGGAGAGCAAAGTATGGCATCGCTTAACATATAAAGAAAACCATGAAAACATCAGTAAAATAAAAGGCAAGGTATTAAATATTGAGGACTTAAAATTTTTTTTCCTATTTTAGAACTAAATTTTGCCTATTATATAGTTATAACTTATGTTGTACAAGTTCTTAGACTAATTTTGATGATTCAGAACAAAAAATTGTTTTTAAATCCATACGGCATTTACCAAAAAAATTAAATTTATAGTACCTTACCATTTTTTCAGCGCCATAATTGTGACCACTTTTGAATCGTCTATATTTTGTTTAAAAAATTTTGAATCTAATAAAAGGGTAATCTGAGTATGTCTCATGCTGTATACATGTAATAAAATGTATGTAAAAAAACGTATTGCGGCAAAACTGGGTTTTTTTTGTCTATGAGCACTACACTAAAAATGCTCTCAAAATTTTACGCTTTGATCAAACTTGTCTGATTGTAAACCCTCAGCTGAGACATTCAGCCCAAATCTAACAACAAACTTGCGGCCCATTTAGATCATAACTATACTTAAGTTAATCTTAGAACTTGATAACATGTATATGCGTCCGCGTAATAGGCGCTGCCGCGCTGGCAATCTCCCTACTAATCTCTGGGCCCTAAGTAGTGCCTCTACAAGAGAGTAAGAGAGTCGAACGCAAAGAACTATAAGAAAAATAGAAAAAAAGATGAGACATATAAGAAAAAAAGTGTATACACGTACAGAGGGTCAAGTGCAGTGTAGTTAGATTGTTAGATGCGGGAGCTTCTCCTGATTAGCTCTGCCATATTCAGGATCAACACTCAACTAATCCTTTTCAACTAAACTATTCACTGTTTCGGAATTCCCTTAGACATATACAGAACAGAGTGCTTATTAGCAGGGGACAGTGAGGCTAGCGTAGAAAGAGAAGGAAGACCAGGGCAGGGACTCAGGGAGTCTTTCACTCTCGTACATAGATTTGATTGGACCGTTTCACACATCGAATTGACTGTATTTTTATATGATTGACTCGTTGCCAGTTGTGTCTCACTTACCTACTCCATAAACGTGCTAATAATCATTGTTTTTCTATTTTAAACATTAAGTGCTTATCGATCCACAAGTGTTGACCTTAGCTGTGAGTCTTGTATTATTTATTAATAATTATTTATTTATAACATTGGACTGTAAGCATCCCAGGTCATCGGGTGATAGGTGCTTGTGTTATTTATTAATAATTATTTATTTAACAGAGTGGTCAGTAAGCACACCGGGTCATTAGGTGATGGATGCTTGTGTTATTAGACCTTATCTGAATCTCGCGCGTCACCTTCGGTACTATTTTTTTTTTGATTTAGTGATTTCCCATGTCAGAGAGGTTGGGTCCTAGAGAATTTCCAAATCCGGCCGGAACTATATCCCATCGCTGCTTAAGTGATATATCGAATGCCCCGGTCAGAGTCAGACCCCTGTTTGCTTCGTGGATTGATTGATTGTTTCTTTATCCCTTTGACATTGTGTGTGGGAGGTGTGCTAAATTTTTTGTCTTGTTGTCTGAGTCTGCAGCTTAGACATTGGGTTAAAAATAAAGCAGATGAAATACCAGGCTGTTACGGATTAGGCTTTTTCTACGGGAGATTTACCGGGGTTTTCCTGATGCATATGACAATTGTTGTGCGCGAATGTGGAGCAGTTGTTAGGGCCCTTCGCCTTCCAATCTCATCCCAGTTCTTCCCCAATCCCAAGTATTCAGGGCCCTAACAGAGATTAGTAGGGAGATTGCCAGCTCCTATGGTAGAGAGTGTGTCGCTTATTTTCCACTGTTTTGAGCGCCCCGTCGCGGCAAATCAGCCGAACTATACGCACGTTTCAGCAGCGCAGGAGAAGACCAAATTGTGCGTACGATAGGTACCTAGTAGAGGGGGAAGGAATATGTGCGTACACACGGGTATAGCTATATATGTTTTGTATTCTAGCTGCCTCGGCTCTCGGCTCCCGGCTCTCGCAGCTCGCAGCTCTCGCATGCATGCGTATACCTATATCTATTCCTGATGTGATGTTCCCTCAAAAGCGGTTTTGAATGTTGGACAGTTATTATATGTCCGGTCATATATTATTCATTAAATGTGTATTAAATACTTGTACAGCTAAATACTGAGTTTTCCTCGTATAAAATAAAAAATTGAGTAATAAAAACGTAAGCCCCGATATTTAATGTAACTTCTTGAAACTTGAT